CCCCCCCACCCCCCCCACTGCTCCCAATCCTCCAGGGTTTGGCGAGAGGTCAGAAGGTGTGGTTCTGCCATGGGCTCAGGGGCTAAGAGCAAGGAGAGAGGGGACCACACTGCCGGTGGCTGCGGATCGAGACTTTGCTTTCCAAATCATGAAGACTGCACCAGGGACTTCAGAGATCGACGACGGCCCTCATGGCTAGCATTCAGTCCCACCAGGTCGCTGGCATTCAGCTTGCACCGCGACCCCACCTCCTCACCCACTCGGTCAGGGCAGGCTCAGGGGCCCACCGGTGGGCTTGCGGGGGGCCGTGGAGGGTCGGGAAGGCAGGGGCCGCTCATGTTGCTGGGCTGGCTGGGGGCAGGTGGGAGGGTGGCTTTCCCAGCCCGTTTCCACCTGCCGAGAGCCCAGTTCACACTTCCAGCCAAGTGGCTGGCTCCCCTCTGGGCTGCAGACATCCTAGAGTCATGCATACCCTGAGACCAAAGTCCCTTAGAGGAGTGAGCTCCCTCGGGCAGTGGTGGGCAACTTTTTCCGAGCTCAGAGCTGCTGGGGAGGGAAGGGTGCAGGCCGAGTGGGAGGGCGAGCACTGGAAGGAGCACGGAAAATCTGTCGGACTCTATCTAGTTGTGGACACCAGGGCCAGAGGGCAGAGAACGAGCCAGGAAGTGGAGAGAGGGAAAGATACAAGGCAGGGGCTGGCTCATGACAGGCCTTGCGAGCCACGTTATGGATGTAGAACTTTATCCCGGGTGCCGGGACATGTTTGCATGATTTCCTGTTAGAGAGCATGGTCCTCGCCCTCACCATCGTCTTCATCACAGCTGTCATCACCATCATCATCACCATCGTGGCCGCTCACACGTGTCGAGCGTGTACCAGGCACCGGGCTAGAGGCTTTTCTGCGCAAATCCTGTCAACAGCTCTGTAAGGCAGATGCCCTCATTCGCCCCCTTTTACAGATGAGAAAACGTAGGCTCCAAAAGGATCGGTGAGATGCTCCAGACCACATGACAAATAGGAGCCCCGGCCGGAACTGGGACTGGAATCCAACCCAGGTCTGCCTCATCCCAAGCCTTGGCTCCTAAACGCTGCTCTTTCGGGGTATAGCCCCTCTACGGTTGTATTTGTGTGAAGACCCGTCATTGGATACAGAGTGAAGGATAAGAGCTGGCAGATGGTCGAGGTCAGTATCAGAGACGGCAAGAGCGGTGAGAGGATGCTCAGCTATAGAGAGAAGCAGATAGGTCCCGGAAACACGTGGGTGGAATCTGAAAGAGGTGCTGATCCGGTAGGTGGGAGGGATGGGGGAGAGGGTATATTGACCGATGACCCCCAGGTTTCTGGTACGGGTGCGTGGAGGTGTAGATCGAGTAATGCCACTTCTGTAGAGACAGAAGAGAAGTGCTCTTTAATGAATGAGTGAATGAATGAATACGTGAGTAATGAGGAGGTCCCCTAAATGAAGTGGGCAATGAGTTCCCCATCGCTGGGATTATGCAAGCAATGGCTACACAACTGTTTGCTTAATCTAGACATTGTAGAAGACACTCCTGCTTGGAAGGGGAGGTGAGAGGGAAGGTCCTCAGTAAATATATGTTGCATGCATGAGTGATTGAACTTGCTGCCACCCCTCTGATTCTAGGGCCTCATGGGGGCTCGCTGGCTCCTAGTGGGAGCTTGATGACTTACCACTGAAGGAACGGAGGACGGGGGAGACTATCAAACCCTATTCAATTTTCTCACATTTCTACTTCGGTATATTTTAGAGCCTGCAGTTTAATACATATTAATGAGTTTACACATTGGGTATGCATAATCAAAATTCTTTTACTTATAGGGATACACAATCACAAGAGCTTGGACACCGCTGTTCTGCAGGACAGAAGCCCTAAAGTGGGCTGAGCGGAAATAATGGCCTTCTCGCTGCCTCTTGATTGCAGTGTCCTCACAAAACTAAGGTTTTCGGGAACCGTGACATGAAAAACCTCTGCAAAAACTACTGCAAAAAAACTCCTCGACCGTTTATTAAGTTGTATGGAAAAGACACATGTTTACACACTTCATCCATGTCTCATTGTTTGTGAATTGCTCCCTCCTTACAATGTAACAGCTCTCTGGGTCTTTCACAGGACAATGTTCTTTATCACAGTGTCAAAACAACCCACTGGGCGGCTGCCCTCCTGCAGACTGATGGCTCCTCAGGCCACGGGAGGACCCCTAAGTGACCATTAGGTGTCCAGAGCTAAATGACCATTAGGTGCCCATCACACACCCGCTGATGGATGAGTGCTACACATTTGCGAAGCACAGCCTCCTTTTTATGCCACTCACAGTCTGCGCGCGGTTTAACTCCATTAAAATGTTAAACCCTTCCTACTTCTTCAACCGTTTTCTTTCTCCAGCTACGAGTGTGTGTGTTTATTGGGGCAGAGGGGTGTGCGTGGCAGGGGCACAAAGGCTGGGCATCTTTTCTGACTCCTTTTGCTTTAAAATCTAGAGCTGGTTTGATGAGGATTTACGGGCTGTTTGCCATCCAAGATTTCCTGGTCTTTGGGGTTTCCATCTTCTCCGGAGAGGGCTTGCTAACAAGTATCCAATTACTTTGAGTGAATGAATGCTGTCCTGGTGTCGCTTGCCTTACCATCCTGGTAGCTCCTGAGCTCCACTGCTACTGAGCTGGCCCTCCCCGCCTTGGTTCTCCTCCACATGACGTTGGAGCGTTGGAGCCCGGGAGGTGCGTTGTCCTTACTCCCCACGGTGCCTGCCGGCCACAGCAGGCCGATTGGGAGCCGCGTAGAAAAAAAGAAATGAATCACCTCCTGAACCTGCGGGGGGGGGGGGGGGGGGGGGGGGCTTGGCGATAGGACTGTCTCTTAAGCCTCTGGCCAAGGATGCTGGTCCAGCTTCCCTTGGCCCTTCTCCTGGAACCCAGCCCGCCCGCCCATCACCCCGCCCACCGCTGCCCCATCGCCCCGCCCACCGCTGCCCCATCCAACCACTGCCGGCCCCGCCCAGCAGACCACAGCCTCTCCATGGCGCCCGGCTGGAGAGCCCCTGGGGAGAAGCGTTCTCTGGGTTCATCGTGTGGGGCTGGGCTTCTCTTGGTCACATAGACGGCCACATGACTCAGACCCAGCTGGCCCAGGCTCAGCCCTGTGGGGACCTTGGTCCCAGGATCAGCGCTATGGTCCCGTGACCCTCGTGCCAAATCATTGGGCTGCTGTCTCGGGTGGCAGTGGATTTAGTGCCCTGGTTGCTGAGACCCGGACAGCAGGTGAACCAGGCTGGACTCCGCCTGGTACCCACTGACATGAGGTCCCGGCAAGTTCTCGAACATCTCGCGGGCATCACAAATCAAACATTGAAGGGGTGGCGTGTCACTTAGGCAGCTTCGGCGTGTGTATGTATGTGTGGTGAGGCGGAGCAGCGTTACGGAAAGGTGGAAGGCAGGAAGTAGCGTTGTTAGCACCACTATGAGGCCAACCCTGAGACGTGCTTTATTTACAGCACCGTTAGCTATAATACCGGTTCTCCTCTAAAGAGCTATTGTAAAACCAGTTTCTTTTTTTTTTAATTTTTTTTTTCAGCGTTTACTATTTTTGGGACCAGAGAGAGAGAGAGACAGAGCATGAGCGAGGGGGGGAGGGCAGAGGAGACACAGAGATGGAAGCAGGCTCCAGGCTCTGGGCCATCAGCCAGAGCCACAGCCTTGGGGCCTGGAACTCTGAACCCTTGAAGATGAATCGTGACCTGGCTGAAGTCGGACGCTTAACCAACTGCGCCACCCAGGCGCCGCCCGAGTCCGTTTCTTGATAATAAATTTATTTCCATACTGTGTGCCTAATAAAGCCTCACATTTATATAGCACCCTTCCTTTTTCCCAAGCACTTTCGTGCCTGTTAACGTCTTTCAGTCCTCCCAACAAGCTGATGTCACAGAGGACGAAACAGGCAGGGATTAAGTGACGTGCCACTAATTATCAGCAGAACTGGGGCGTCAGGCTCCTTCTCAGTCCTCTCCCCTGCACCAGGCAGGGTGCCTCGCTCCACCACGTCGCAGAACAGCCTTCTGGTCGTTGGAAGTAGTCATCCCTGTTCGAGTTTGCGAGTTCCTCGGAGACAGAGATTATACTTTGCTTTTTTCTTCCCTCTTGCCCGCGGTGCTCAATACTTGCCTACACAGCAAGTGCTTAGATAAGTGCTAAGTGCTCATCGAGTTCTTGTTTGGCACAGACCATCTTGCCCATGGGCAGGGGGAGTGATGGGATCCTGGTCTCCGGGTTCTTACCAGGGATCCCTCAGAGTTCAACCTTCACTGATCGGAGAAATCATCCTCCGGAGTCCCAGCTGAGAGGATTTAAGAGACTGAAGGCAAAACTCCAGCCAGGCCCCCCGCCTGTGGACCCAGACGTGGCCTCAAAGCTGGGGTGGCAGTTCCCCCGGAGATGTGATCTGGCACGCCGGGGCAGGCTGGGACACCATGTGGGAGGGACACTCAGTCACTCCCGTCCCTGTCCCCAGGCCCCCTCCACTCCTGGGAAGAAGCAGACTGGCCCACGGGTGGCAGCAAATGGGAACAATAATACCGTCATGTTTATGGAGCCCTTGGCTCTGGGCATGAGGTCACCCCATCCTCACGGCCTCGCCCGCTGCATCTTGGGCAGGGCGGGAATGAAGCGCCTGTGTTTGGCCGGAGACGTCGACTTACTGCCCAAGGTCGCATGCCTTCCGTTCCTGCTCAGGCACATCCTGAGGGGCAGCTGTAAGCGCACCCTCACCCACGTGAACCGTAGTCCTCGGGGCGGCCCTCACTGGCTGTTCCCCACCCACTCGGGCAGTCTGTGAATCTGGCGTTCCACCGAGATGGAGGTCCGTAGCGTGCCCATGGAGTTCTCCGTCTTGGTGGACTCCGACACGCAGCCCCCCTTCTGGCACAGTCCCCGGAACACCTCCCGTGACTTCTTGCGGAAGCGCTTGCCCACGATCACGTACACCAGTGGGTTGAGGCAGCTGTTGCTGTAGGCCATGTAGGACGCGATCTGCGTGAAGACGTCGACGATGTGCTCATCCCAGCAGCCGGACAGGATGTTGAGGCGCAGCAGCGTGTCCAGGAAGGTGCTGACCTGGAAAGGCAGCCAGCAGATGACAAACAGCAGCAGCACGGCCAGGACCAGCACCGTGGCCTTCCTCTCCGTCTGGATCTCCTTGAACTTCTGCATCTCGTTGTTGCGCAGCACCTTCATGATCTGCACCGTGCAGAAGGTGATGACGACCAGGGGCAACAGGAAGCCCACGGAGTTCAGGAGCACGTTGGTGAACACCTCCCAGGTGCGCGACGGGTAGACGATGAGGCAGGCCGTGACGTTGTAGCCCTCGGCCGCGTACTCCTTCATGGTCCGGAAGGCCAGCATGGGCGAACTCAGGAGCAGCGTGCACCCCCAGATCACCAGGCTGTAGAGTTTGGCCCAGCGCACCCCGCGCATCCGGCCCATGGACATGGTTTTCACCAGGGCCAGGTAGCGGTCGATGCTCACCAGCATCAGGAAGCAGATGCTGCTGTACAGATTCATGTAGAGCATGGTGTTCACCACGCGGCAGAGGACCTCCCCAAAAAGCCAGTCGAAGTTGTGGGCGATGGTGATGGCCCAGAAGGGCAGCCCGCAGGCCAGGATCAGGTCCGCCACGGCCAGGTTCCCCAGGTAGATCTCGGCCACCGTGCAGCTGCTCTTGTGCAGGCAGAAGACGCCGAGGACGAAGATGTTCTCGAGGGCTGCCAGCACGAACAGAACCCAGAGGAAGGGAGCCTGGATGGCGTTGAGCCAGCTCCACCACTCGGCATAGATGCAGCCCTGGGACGACGTCCCGTTGAGAGTGGACTCAAGCACCTGTGAGGTGATGTTGAGCATTTCAACGCTGAAAGAAAAGCGCAAAAGAGGCTGTTACACCTCAAGGTCACAAGAAGGAGGAGAGACAACTGATGCAGAAGGAGGGGGACTCAGCAAGCAGCTTCCAGAAGCGAGGTCGGGAGGGGCGCTCAGGCCCTTTCTGCCGCGTGCTCAGAGACCGGGGCGCCCCGGACTCCCTGGGGTCTTTCAGAGGGACCCCGTCTCCTTGGGCTGAGCCGAGAGCTCGTGTTCTTTGCCTGGCAGCTCCATTAGGATGTTTCCTTGGACGGTGTCCACCCGCGGCACCAACAATCAGTCTTGGGCCCTGGGCCTCCTCGAAGCTTCCGTGATGGGAGGATGCAAAACACATTCCTTCCTTATCGTGTGGGCCCCTCCCAAGGGAGCTGGGCATCTTTCGGCCTCTCGTGGCCTGGTCACGGTGAGTAATTTATTAGAGGAGAAAGATGATATCACGCCAGACAGTGATATTCCAACCTGCCTCCGAGACCACAGCCCATCTGCCCACACCCTGTCTGCTTCTGGCAGAAGGCAGCGCTGTGCTTCCAGAACCTCCATCAGCCAAGTGTTGACGACAGTCCGAGGTCACGTGATGGCAAGGGAAGGCAGGGGCTTTGGAACCAGACAGTTCATATCTCGGCGTGTTCATTGGCTGTGTGACCTTGGGTAAGTTAATTAGCCTCTCTGAACCTCAGTGACCTACCTTGTAAAATGGGAATAACAGAATCTACTTCTCAGGGCTGCGGTGGGAATCCAAGACAGTGGGCAAAAAGCTGTGCTCTTGCTTCAACAAGCACAGATAATTATTGACTTTTCGTGAACTTATGAAAACAACTGGCACCACTGTTTTCAGGTTCTTGCTCCTGTATTAGCGACTGTATCATTAACTCACTTCTTCCTCTTCCACTCTTGGGTGCGACTCAGACCATGGGGCGGTTCATTTTCTGGAAGTGTCACTGTTCAGGCTACTTCCTTTCTACCCTCTGCCAAGAGGCACGGGGGTTGGACAGCTCCCTAGCTGTGTGGTCTTAGGCAAATTGCTTGACCTGCCCGAGCTTCCATTGTGTTTCCTTTGGAGTAAAACACTGCTCTCTTCTTGACTGGCTTTGTATGGCTGTTGCAAGGTCCAACTCAAAGCGTGGGCGTGAAGACACATCGAAAGCGGAGAGTACAACCAGAGGGCAAGACTGAGTAGATGTTTCCCTAGTGCCCAGGGCAGGGAGAGTCAGGGAAGGTGGTGGGAGGGGAGCTCTTCCTGGGTGGGTGAGTTCTTCCGGGGCAGGCTCATTGGCTGGGAGGTGGGGG